GACATTGCATAAATATGGAATTGGATTTTTTAATTTATACTTACAGGGTACAAGTATAATTCTGTTATATGCATGGACGGCACAGTGGTCAAGTCAGCTTTCAGGGTATCTATCACCCGAATAACATATATCCTACCCATTAAGTAATTTTTCTCATTATCCACGCCCCTCCCACCCCGAAACCCTCCTGAGTCTCCATTGTCTATCATGGAATTTGACTTTCTTCCACAAAATATTCAACTTAAATCTAGCGCCTATGAATTTGTCTATATTGTACGCTGCTCTTTAAACTCTTATGAAATCTCTGAGAAATTAACCAGAGAGTCTTAATTCTGAATTTAGAAATGTTTGTAATTACATACATCTTAACACCAATATATTGAACATTCATCTGGAATACCTTTAATATCCTCATTAGGTGAGTAATATAGAATATGAATATTAACTAATAGAGAAGTATTCCATAGACATTACACAATTCTACTTTCATTCATCTGAATTGATTACTTTGAAAAAGGCCTTAATCTATAATGTCAACATCTTTTGTTTATTTCTGTTTGCCCCCTATTTTAGAGGATATCTCTATCTGAGGAAGATTTTTTGGTATATGCATTTTGTTTATGCTACACATGCCAAATAGATCTCCCAAGATGAAACTCTGAGCTCATTTGGAAGTAATTTTTGGTAGCACATGAATCAGAACTCTTATTTTCTTCTCAGCGCTACTGGTATTTTATTGCTTCCATCTATAGTCCAATATGCTTTTAGTGCTAAGAACCCTGAGGCCAAACACACAAAGCACTAAGAAAATGGGAACTTCTGGCGATTACAATTTTTGCCTCTCTTTCAAGGTTTTTCCCTCCCCTGGGAGAGTGAAATCACTTTAAGTTCACTATGAAACAGGAACATGGTGAGCACAAATGATTGACTGAAGTTGGTGATGTTGATTTAGGAATCTTCGACTTAAAGGTCAGGTATAAAAACCTTAAACCTGCTTGTCAAAGTCCGCTTGTCAAATGCCTATGGATTTTTCAAGACTCTGCTCAAATGTCACTTTTTCTATGAAGGCCTCTCTGGCCAACACAGGCAGAGTCAGGCAGTTCCTCCTTTATATTATTATCACACTTTAACATATTTCTGTGGCAGCACTTATCAAATTATATTGCATTTGTTTGCCTGTCTCCACTCATGATAGAGAGAAACCATTCTCTTCCTTTTATCTGTGAACCGGAGCATTACCAAAATGAAGTTGGCTCTCAATAATTAATGGAAAGGATGGTCAGAAAATGGTTAATAATATTTTATATCTGCATAGCATAGGTTTCAAGGTTTTTTCACATAGTAAGGAAGTCATGACTTAAATTATTTTCTGTCTTTTATAGACAAGGAAACAAATGCCCAGAGAGGTTATATGACCCACCCATGTTCAAAACAGCTAATATGTTGCACACCTAATTGTCATGGCAGCAAGTTGATAAAGATTTGCAGATAGAAGTGGTAGCAGGACTGTTATATAAGGCAAAGATGTCAATGGCTGGCCAGGAGTGCATTAGGTACGTGTTTCAGATTGGTTGACATATTTTAGGATCTGAATATTTGTTTTGAAAGTAACTCTTAACAGGGTCTCAGGAAATTAACTTAAATGGATATGAAACTGGACACAAGAATATAGAATTATTATTTTTGTTTTGTTTTCTTGAGACAGACTTTCGCTCTTGTTGCCAAGGTTGGAATGCAATGGCACGATCTTGGCTCACTGCAACCTCTGCCTCCCAGGTTCAAACGATTCTCCTGCCTAAGCCTCCCGAGTAGCTGAGATTACAAGCATGTGCCACCATGCCCGGCTAATTGTGTATTTTTAGTAAAGACAGAGTTTCTCCATGTTGGTCAGGCTGGTTTTGAACTCCCGACCTCAGGTGATACGCCCACCTTGCCTCCCAAAGTGCTGGGATTACAGGTGTGAACCACCACGCCTGGCCAAGAATATCAAATTATTTATAATCAGTAACAATATGTGACAAATTCTTACTTTGTACTCAAGCTACACGTGAAGTCAGCAGAAAGACATAAAACATATCCTACATATGTATGTAATATATATGACTGCCATCTCTGAAATTCTGACGGTGACTCAGACTAACAAGGAATAGAGTTCTTAGAGATCAATCCTCTAACTCTTTCTTCTGACAAAAGACAGACAGACAGAAATGGATAGCTAGAAAGGATAAATGACTTACTCGAAGTCACACAGCTTTGTAGTGGCAGGACCAGGACAAAAAAATCAGGTCTCCTAAACAATAATATTGTTACATTTTTAAAAAACAAATTATGATTGAGAAGTGATATAAGTAGAGTTCCTAGCCTTCTAGGCAGCTGGCTAATATGAGTGCACATAGGCTGTAACACTGGAATTATCATTAAAAGAATGCTGCAACATGGGGGAAGTACCCCATCTACTATTGTGTGTCTGTGGATTAGGGAGGTAAGGGAGCATATAATATGACAGACAGTGTTTTAGGATCTAAATGGAGATCAACAATATTAATATTTATTTTTATATAGTTTACATATATATTCTTTTATTTTTATTTATTTGAGATACAATCTTACTCTGTCTCCAATGGCTCACTGCAACCTCTGCTGCTCAGGTTCAAGCAATTCTCCTGTCTCAGTCTTCTGAGTAGCTGGGATTACAGGTGCCTGCCACCACGCCAGGCTAATTTTTGTATTTTTAGTAAAGACAGTGTTTCATCCTGTTGGCCAGGGTGGTCTCAAACTCCCAACCTGAGGTGATCCGCCCTCCTTGGCCTCCCAAAGGGCTGGGATTACAGATGTGAGCCACCACACCCAGCCACATTTATATTCTTTTTTTTTTTTTTTTTTTTTTGAGAGAGAGTCTTGCTCTGTTGCCCAGGCTGGAGTGCAGTGGCATGATCTCAGCTCACTGCAACCTCCACCTCCCTGGTTCAAGCAATTCCCTGCCTCAGCCTCTTGAGTAGCTGAGATTACAGGCACGCGCCACCATGCCTGGCTAATTTTTGTATTTTTAGTAGATGCAGGGTTTCACCATGATGGCCAGGGTGGTCTTGAACTCCTGACCTCGTGATCCACCCGACTTGGCCTTCCAAAGTGCTGGGATTACAGGCGTGAGACACCGCGCCCGGCCCACATATATATTCTTATATATCCACTCACCCACAGACATTGTTACAAAAAAATTATTGGATTTATTTCAGTATGTCAACTAAAGTATATTTTGTGGTCCTCATTCCTTTTCAATGCACATTTTTTTCCTTTTTGAAAATAATCCAAGTATTGTAGATATAACCTGTGTGCTTAAGTGTTCATAGCATATAATCAGCTTTTTAGTTTTGAAAATGATTTGACCACTTTCTCTTACCCCTGTTATCATTGCCAGTAGAACACATTCTACTAATTATGGGTTAGCCAAAAAGTATGTGTCCCTATGAAACGTCAAAGACCAAAATCAACTAATATTTCCAGCAAAAAAAGAAGACATACGATCATATTTCTGGAAGTTTGTGGTTTAACTTCTGTGACCAAAGCTGCTTGTTTCACTGTTGGGGTGTGCTCTGGGTTATAGGCCCTGGGTTAGGAGATGAAACCAATTTGATTTCCACAAGCATATTCATATCTCACAGATGAAGTCACACCAAAATCAAATGATTTCACCGGAAAACAGCATTGACAAAGAAAGTACTGTTTTGGGAATAGAAACATACCTCACACTGCAATGACTCTGTTTGCCAACTGACATTCCTGCTGGGGATTATTACTAGTGGTCCTTCTTTCTAATATATAAGCTGGGCGTGATGGCTCACGCCTATAATCCCAGCACTTTGGGAGGCTGAGGCAGGTGGATCATTTGAGGTCAGGAGTTTGACACCAGCCTGGCCAACATGGTGAAACCCTGCCTCTACTAAAAATATAAAAATTAGCCAGGCGTGGTGGCATGCACCTGTAATCCCAGCTACTCAGGAGGCTGAGGTAGGAGAATCACTTGAATCTAGGATGCAGAGGTTGCAGTGAGCTGAGATTGCACCACTGCACTCCAGCCTGGGCAACAGAGCCAGACTCTGTCTCAAAAAAAAAAATCGATTGCAATACTAAATATGCAAAAGGATTATTATGGATGAAAACTATATATATATATATATGTATATATATATCTCAAACAGGTAAAGATATATATATTAAAAGAAGATATATATATAAAAGATATATACAGATATACATATATAAAGATATATATATATATAAACTCAAAAAACTATATATATATATATCTGTTTGATATCAACCATTGTGCATATCTTTCTGTTACTATTACGGAGTAATCTTCCCGCTACTTCTCTGTTGGATGCAGAGGAGGTATATTTCCACAGCATTTATATAGCAAAGCCTTTGATTCCTTTTAGCATCGTAACTTGTAGCCTAATTGCCCACCCCCAATTAATGCTAATATTTCCTGTAATCCTCAAGAGTTCCAGTTTAAAACAAGAGCCCACATTGTGAAAGAAACTTAAGATCGTCAAGATCATTTACACAGTCCAATTCAAAATCAGTTTCTCATTTAGGCTGTGAAAGAAACTTGTTTGTAAATCATAGCATTTGAATTTATTATGTGAACGATTCTAGATAGTAATTTTTAATCTATGTAAAATTATAATATTATGCTATATAAAAATTGAGATTATTTAAGTATCAATTCATTCATTTTCTATCAAATTTCAGTAAAATATTTCCCATGTATACCTAACATTGAAGATAATTCATTTAGGTCCCCATTATGTTAAGCCAGCCATGACTTATAACTTAATTTTTAGCCATGTCACAGGTATAAAATATTTGCCAATTCTTGTTAAAAAACTGTCATATGAAATCAATATAGTCAATAGGAACATAAAATGACAATAGAAGGAAGACATTCAGAAATGTAAGCAACAGGCCTTGCAATGCTTTCAGCTGTATTTACTCACCAAAAACAAAGTTCGGAAGTTGTTGAGATCACCAAAGAACTCTTCTATGCTCACTGTCTTTGAGTCAAAAATGAAGTATTCTCCAAGATTCTCATAGAGTTTCAGCATGTTGTTGTGCATGGTGGAGAGTTTTTCGTACTGTTCTCTGGCACTCTTTGTAAAGCTGTAGCTTTTTGTTAAGGAACATGACCCAACAATACCTTTCAAAGGCAATCAATAGGTGTTAAGATTGAATGAAACCATCACCATCACTTCTATAAATACATTAGTAATTCACAAACACTTGTGTATAGTTTGTTAGGGCTGCCATGGTAAAATACCACAGGTTAGGTGGCTTAAACAACAGAAACTTATTTTCTCACAACTCTGGAGGCTAGGAGTCCTAGATCAGGGTCTTGGTGGGTTTGGTTTCTTCTGAGGTCTCTTCATAGTCGTTCCTCTGTTTCCTAATTTCTTCTTCTTACATCAGACATATTGGACTAGGACCCACCCTCATCATTTTAACTTAATTACTTCCTTAAAGTCCCTATGTTCAAATATAGTCCCATTCTGAAATACTGGGTGGTTAGAACTTCAACATATGAATTTTGTGGAAGACACAATTTAGCCCAAAATAACTTGCTAGAGTCATTACATTGGTTAGTGAGTCTTGAAGATCTCTAAATTAGGCAGAACTATTCAATATGTAACCACACAGAACATGTTTGTTAGAAAATGTTTGCTAAATGAAAGCACATAGGCATAAACACCAGAAAAAGGCCTCATATATTTTTGTAAGTAAGGTAGAAAACATCAGATCGCGTGGCCGAGCGCGGTGGTTCACGCCTATAATCCCAGCACTTTGGGAGGCCGAGATGGGTGGATCAGGAGGTCAAGAGATCAAGACCATCCTGGTCAACATGGTGAAGCCCCGCCTCTACTAAAAATACAAAAATTAGCTGGGCATGGTGGCGCACGCCTGTAGTCCCAGCTACTCGGGAGGCTGAGGCAGGAGAATTGCTTGAACCCAGGAGACGGAGGTTGCGGTGAGCCGAGATCGCGCCATTGCACTCCAGCCTGGGTAACAAGAGCGAAACTCCGTCTCAAAAAAAGAAAAAAAAAAAAAAGAAAACATCAGACCTCATAAGAACTTAAAGAAAAAAAAATTAAAAAAGGTAGAAAACAGTGACAAAAAAAGAAAAAACTATATATATTTTTCTCTTTTTAATATGTCTCTATATAAATAGAGATAAGAGGTTATAGTGAATTCTGTATATGAGTTATATATGTGTGTGTGTGTGTGTGTGTGTGTGTGTATACATATATGCATAACCCACATGAGGAGGGGAAAGAGAGAAGGAAGAAGGTGATGGGGTTCAAGATACACTTCCCCAAAATATGGCACCTTGGCAGTTGAGAAATCAGCAAAAGTAGGAAGGTCTCTCTTATTTTCTTCTAATCCTTTTCTTCTGAAGCATGCAAGAAAATAATTCTCTTAATTGCTTCTGAAGTAGGTTATTAGACCCTCATTTCACAGCTGCTCATCCTATACATGAAGGAAAAGAATGTCCTTATCTCTGGAGACATATGGACACAGAGAAGGACCTGAACAAGCATGCCTCGCTGAGTCCCCTCAGCTCATTAGCATTAGATCACATCCCCTTTGCCCAATTATATTTCCCCACTGTCCACTCTTCATCAAACCTAATCATAAACATACATAAGTTGGCTGGGCGCAGTGGTTCACGCCTGTAATCCCAGCACATTGGGAGGCTGAGGCAGGTGGATCACAAGGTCAGGAGATGGAGACCATCCTGACTAACGGGTGAAATCCTGTCTCTACTAAAAATATAAAACATTAGCTGGGCGTGATGGCGGGCACCTGTAATCTGATCCTCGGGAGGCTGAGGCAGGAGAATCGCCTGAACCCGGAGGCAGAGGTTGTAGTGAGCCGAGACCGCACCAACACACTGCAGCCTGGGTGACAGAGCAAGACTCTATCTCAAAATATAATAATAATAATACACAAATTGCCCTATTTCTTTTCGTCTTCATTTCTGAGGGCTCCTGTGTCACATAAAATTTATATTAAATTAATCCATAAGTTTTTCTCTTGTTAATCTGTTTTTTGTTTCAGAGGTATCAACCACAAACCCAGCAATGGGTGAGAAGGGAAACTGCTTTTCCTCTATAAAGGAGAGGAAGTGGCATGGCAAGAAAGGAGGAAGAGGGAGAAGGAGGGAAAGGAGAGGAGGAAGGGGAGAGAGGGAGGGATATAGAGGGAGAGAGGAAAGAGAGGGAGAGAGAGGTAAAGAGAATCTGCTATAGATCTAGAGAGAATTTTCTGTAGCTTTAGAACCTAAACACCCAAAAAGTTTGTTAAAACACAAATAGCTGTTTGCTGGGGCCCCAGATCACGGGCCTGAGAATTATCATTTCTAACTAATTTTCAGGTGATGCTGATGCTGCTGGTCCAGGCCCACACTTTGAGTAGTATGCTCTAGAAAATTAAGTAGAAGCTATTATCTCCAGAAACTAATTTTACCAGTTTTAAAAAAACTTTGAGGCCGGGCACGGTGGCTCAAGCCTGTAATCCCAGCACTTTGGGAGGCCGAGGCGGGTGGATCACGAGGTCAAGAGATCAAGACCATCCTGGTCAACATGGTGAAACCCCGTCTCTACTGAAACTACAAAAAATTAGCTGGGCATGGTGGCGTGTGCCTGTAGTCCCAGCTACTCAGGAGGCTGAGGCAGGAGAATTGCCTGAACCCAGGAGGCGGAGGTTGCGGTGAGCCGAGATTGCGCCATTGCACTCCAGCCTGGGTAACAAGAGCGAAACTCCGTCTCAAAAAAAAAATAAATAAATAAATAAACTTTGAAGAAATAAGTGATCTTAACTACTACCATTACCAAATCATAAAATGAACCAAATATATAAATGTGTCCTACTAAAGATATCTCACTATATATAAATGTATACTTATAGAAAGAAATTATATTTTTTTCTGATTATAGAAGATATAAATGACCTTTTTTTTTTACAACTTAGATATTAAAAATTTAAATCAACTAAAATTTCTGACTCAGAAACAAGTATCGTGAACATTCTGGAACATTTTCTTCTGGTCTTTCTTCTATGGCTAGTAACTTTTGATTGTTAGTGAATAAGAATGTTTTAGAAAAAGGTAAGTGGACTAGCCACAAAAAATAAAGGAAACAAAATCAACAGTTTAAAATTAGAGCTAAATCCATTAAAAATCAATAATGATCACAGAAGAAAAATTTCTTTAAATGGAAAAGTAATAGAATTGTAAAGAAAAATAATCGTACAGTCTGGGGCATACTATTTTAAGATCTACTATAGTGTATTCATATTTTGTGTGCTATTATTTTATCAAGTACTGATAATTGTGCCTTGAAAAACTTGACTTTATAAGATTTTCTGAATTCTTCACTGTGTTTTATTATAACCTAGGGCTAAATTTATTTTCCATGGGAACACAGCTCTAGTTCTATAATGGAAGTCAATGGGGAAATCAGACTGTTTCTGGAAAGTTACTTCGAAGCTGACACGGAATACACCATGATTTTAAGAGTGAGATGCCCACTTCCTATGTTCTTTTTTTATGCTATGTAAGTATTAGCATTCACATTAACGACACAACAGCCCCTTTCATGCTGACAAGTGACATTAAATCTTTCAATCCTCAAGCCCATTTTTATGTCAATAGACCCGAAAGAACAAATACATTTCTGACAGATTCTACTTTCTTTTTACCAATGAAAGGGTATGTAATGCTTCATATAAAAACATTCTGATTTTTACCTTTGAGACTGTCATCATGTATATATTGGTTTTTAAGAAAATGTTTATCATCATATTTAAGTGTAGCAGAAAGAAGACTTCATTTTTTAGCATAAAATGAAAGTGACATTTCTGTTTTCTAGCCTCTCTTCCCTAAATAAAACAGATTCATTCCAGGGACTTGCTAGGCAGAAACACTATGCAAAGGTCACTTACTTGTAATTTATTTGCAATGCAAATCACTAAACTGTTTGCATAGTGCAGGAAGCTCAACATCTGTATAACACTGAGAAAAAGCCAAAGATTACAAAAAAGGCAAAATTTGTATGTTCTCCATTTATCACATAACACAATTTTTCACCAGCTATAACATGTCCATGTAGTGATACCGAGCTTCATAAATTTGTTCTTATAGAACAAAAACCGATTTCAGAAATTGTCTCTGTACCCAAGTGAGGAAATCTAAAAAATTCTGGGAATGCTTTATCTTCAAAATAACAAATGGAAAGCATCCCAATCTCTAAATCCTTCACTCATCTTCAGAGTGATTACTTTGTAAAAGGGATAGATGGCTGGCGAGTCAGCACTGAAATCTTTCATAATTGCAACCATGTCACCAACTCCTACATGGGACTGCAGGTAAGAAAAGAAGTGGACAACATCACTCCATACCATCCCTGCATTTAATGTGGGAATTTAAAAAACTGACTATTTATTTTTAATTATCTATATTATTTTTTAGAGACAGGATCTTGCTCTGTTACTCAGGCTGGAGTGCAGTGGCACGATCATAGCTTACTGCATCCTCGAACTCCCAGGTTCAAGCCGTCTTCCCGCCTTAGCCTCTCAAATAGCTGGGACTACAGATTATACGACACCACACCTGGCTTCATATGGGAAATTTTTGTTTTGTTTTTTGAGCAGCCGCTAAATACAAGATACTGGGGTAGTATCATGCTAAGCGTCGTGATCGACAGAATGATCATTAAAGCCTTAATCTCTACACTGAAGAAGTTTATAATCTAATAGTACAAATAATTCTACCACCATTAATTTGCATGTATATAAGACTTTATCACTTGCTGTATACATTTCCTTCCATTGTATTCCATATTCTTCAAAACAACCTTTTCAAAAAGGCAGAACAATATTACTATTCAAAGTTTAGCGTTGAGGGAGCTAGATAAAAGGCAGTTCACCATTTAGGGTTAGAATGTAGACATTATAATAGTCTATGACATGACACCTAGTTCTTTTCATATAGAAGTGTACTGTCTACAATAACAGTGACCTTCATGTGGCAAAATCCAATGTTCACTCCTTTATTCTTCTTTTTAGGTCTTAGCAGCGTATGACACATTTAGCCACTTCTCTTAATTTC